ATATCAAAAACACAATCACACAACGCTGTATAATAGCACTCACAACACTCTTTCCTTTCGAAATGTAATTCTGTAAAATCTAAAATATGTCGCAAATGTCACTTATCCAAACTGATCAACAAGAACATTGTTGATCAAACATTTTACCTAAAACTAGAGGAGAGCTGTGTAGCTTCTGTGTGCACCTGGGTTGCCTTTTATTTTTTTAATACAAGTGAGAAATGTCATCTTCCTCTTATAACTTCTGCATTTATCACCGGTGGACCGACTGAATGAATATTGACTTTGCCTGGAATAATAGCTGACAAAGCACAAAGTCTGGCCTATTCAAATATTGCTCCCTTGCAAATGCAGAATCTGAACCCTCCCAGTAATTTGATTTCCCTCCTTTCCCTCGACTCCGCCTCACGTCCTCACTGCTCCGACACTCTCTCGTCTGTGGAGTGTTCTTTCCCTCAGGATCTTCCACCATATGTCGCTCTACCCTTCCTACCTTCAGCATCCCGCTTCCCTGCAATGGAATTAATATTTCACAGGCGGCTCCTTCGCCATTTTTCTTGCTGACAAATTGGAGGTGGAAAGAAAGTTTCCGACCAGCCACGGAACAATAAATATTAAAGTGTTTCCCTTGGAAGTTCTCCAATCCGGCACTCCTTATGTACACTGTCAAGCACGTGCTCTTGTGCCATTTCTCTCTTACCCAGTCTTACTCTCACTCGCCTTATCTATCCTTCTATCCTTTCCATCTCATCTACTGCACCATCTGTGCAGCTGTAATATGCAGGACTCCTCATGTGCTCTATTTCACTCCCTCGCTTTGTCTTCCCTACCGATTCTGGCTCATCCCTCTCTCCAGGCATGGCCTCCCCTGCATGGCTGTTTTGACTGACTTGTTTGTATCCCACGATGGGGCTACCATGCAGGCAGGCTCCCTGTGTGCAGAAATGTCTCATACACACAAACACACAACGTGCTGCCATTACACAGCAAGCCCAGCCAGTTAACACAACGCTGCTTTCATCTTTTGGTTGAAAGAATGCTGTAACCATCAATGTGATGACCTTATACGTGCTCCCTCTGTGGCATGTACAAGATGCTTGATCACCCTCAATTACTCCAACAAAACAAAACCATCTCCCTCTCACCGTGAAGAGTTTACAACCCTAGATCTAACAATTCAAGTCTTCACCAACAGCACACTATTGATCTGAGCCAGTCACCACACTGACATCCCACTCAGCTGGATAATAGGAAGATCAGTGTGAAATATTGTGTGTGATTCGAGTCTTGGAAGACATAGTCAGAGAATGTGATGCGTTTGTCTTTGACCATGTAGTGTCTGCTAAAGCCTTCCAACAGCATACAAGGACACTGTGCCACAGTGCAAATGGTGATAGGCTTTTGTGGTGTCCATATTGATTGTATGCCCACTAAATGAAAATGGCATGACTGGGAAAACAAGGCGTATCATCCAATACAACAAAGACCTCTACTGCCTCACAGTGGGCCATTTGGACAACAATCCTAAATGTTTTGGACGGGAAGAGGGACATCAAATAGTAAAACTGTGTGTTGTTCATCCTTCTGAGATGTCTGGAAAATGTCAACAAATAAATAGGCTTGTCTGGCGAAGGGAAACAGTTGAAAGACAGACATGTGAGCAATAAGACTTTGTCGTTTGTATATACTGTATGTATAACGCTCTGATTAATTTAATTCTTATTTAAGGATACGTTAACTTCATTTTTAAATAAGGTGGGATTCAAAGGCATTTTTACATACTTTAAATGCCCTTAAAAGGTATTTACTCAATCAGCCTCCTACTCTGTGCAATGTGATACTACATGAACACTGTTCTGCCAAGTTAGAAAATTTTTTTTGATTTCACACAAGACATCTTTATTTGTGTTTTTCTCTGTTCTTACATCACTGGACTGGATTCAAATGGGAAATAAATTATGTTACATACTTCTTTTAGCTACATTTGGATCAAAATTTGATGACAGATGTGGAGTGCTTGTGCTGCCAGTACTGCCAATTAAATCGGATCAAAGCACACCCACACAGTCCTGAAGAAGCAGAGTAGCAGGATCTTTGAGCGTTGAACTGATAATGACTTAGGATATTTTTCTGAACTTTAATTGTTGCACATTTAGTGGTGGATATTGTGTGTCATAAGAAAATACTTAAAGGGGAGCTATGGCCATTTAAAAAAAAAAAAGAAGTTATTCCTACAACAGTCCAAAAATAATAGTAAACATATCTCTCACAAATAAAACAATTAGAGGAGCTCACGGTTATAGATATCGAATTTCCCGAGGCAAATATAATATACTGAAATTATCGATTTAGGTGGAGTTTCCCTTTAAAAATATAACCAAGGTTTTTAAGGCTTTTATGCCATTGTAAATTCAAATACAGACTGTCTTAATTGAATAGTTCGGTAAGACAAAAGTGAGCTCCTTCAACATTAATATAAATCATATTAAAGGTTTATGGTGCGTCTTTGAATCAGACATGCTGTGTGAGAGCGAAGTTGATACATTTATTTAAATCACAAAGACAGAACATAGCCTCAGCCGCACTTGACTATATCATACAGAAATATGTAAGAGCCAACGAAGAGCCCCACAAAGTGATATAAAACTTGTGAACTGCATAAGCAAGGAGAGTTGCTTTTGATGCATTTTTCTTTTTGGAGAGATTCCTCAAAGTTTCAAGTTCAAGATCAGCTGCGACGATATTACATTTCCTCTCACCGATAGCTCTTCCTTCCATTTGATTGGATTTTAAAATATCCTCTAAAAGTAGGAGAAATTCTATAGGAACGATTCCTCTAGAGTTATTGATTTTAAAAAAGCCTGATATCTCCGGGACAGTGCCGAATCAATATTAGCAAGCTATCTCATATCTAGCTGTATAATGCCTCCACTTAGCCAATCCTTCCAGTTTAGAGGTCAAGGAGTTGGCCTATTCTCCAAACTATTAAGCCAGAGACGAAACCATTTTTTTTGTGGAGGCCATGGTCATAATTAGGGAAATACATTACACAGGAAGACAAGCATGACGCCTCAATGAGTGATTGATAACAGCATATTGAATGGGAGTCGCTGGTAGCCGAGATTTCCCCATCAGAGGACAGACAGACAGCCAGCCTGCCTGCACATCCCCCATCGTGAGTCTTCACAGACTGCAGGGATGTTGGTGTGTGGGTGGGGTGAGGATTATCGTGGCAGTTCAGAGCAGGGTTCCTGCAGCACGGTGCGGGACTCAGCGGCACCAGAACTCAGTGGATAATGAGCAGCCTTTGTGATGTGTGCTGCAGGGGCTAGTGAAGGCTGAGCCGGGGAACAGTAATGAAGCTCAGGCCTCCGTCTAAAGCCACACAGATACCGAGATATGAAGCCACGCGCCTACTTTTTTCCTCTTTCACAAATGTTTGATAAGATTTCACACATTTTTGCACATAGTCCTGCATCTTATTCCCGTTATGGAAATCAGGGAATGGGTAAGCCACAGTGGTATTTTTTAACATATCTAAGGCCAAAGGTTCTTAAAGTAAGGACTTGTACATACATGTAGAATTTTAAAAGACACGTGAATAAATTAAACCGTTTGAATGTAAAGAAATTTTAAAAATACAAATTTCCATAGCCATGAAGACCAATACATCTAAAATGTGAAGCACTTACCAAAGAAAACATAACGGTATGTGCATGCCATTTTGCATGCAGCAGCAGCTGCTGGATCACTGGTGAGGACAAGACACCCTGACCTTTACTTCCACAACATTATGTAATGCACTTGTCACTGCTGCTTTACAAGTCATGCTCCGCCCATGGAGCGTGCCTCTCAGAACAACGGCCTCAGATTTGTTTTAATTAAAGAGACACACGCACGTGCCAACACGAGCACGGCTTCACCTCATCGCCACTTAACTGACGGACAGCTTATTTCACACTTTACAGCTCCATCTCATTAACTGAACACAACACATTTCTGCTAAAACGGCATGGTAATGTGCGAGTTATCAAAAGGAGCAGGTTCTACTTGAGTTACTGCTGTCAGCGAGGGCTGAAAACATAATGACTGCTGCCTACTACTTAAACCTCTCTAAACACAGCAGAATACACACGGCGGCTACTGTGTGGGCATCAAAGTTATGCATTGGGATAAAAAATAAATTTTAAAAAGATACGGCTTGTAGATGGAGACTCAAAATAGCACATTACTAGACTGATATGTATATTTTTTTTTTTGCATGGACCGCTGCACCCATTGGCCTTTTGCCCATTTAAGTTGCATAGTCAATCTGTTGTGTGCACTCATGCTGAGAGAGATACCGTAAAATCCCTGCTTGGGCATCATATCTTTACAGCCAAGAGGGACGCATTTTCTTCTTTAGGAGGCACATTTCTCATTACTTTTTTTGGCAACCATTTGAATATATCTATATGGACTTCCATTTCATGCTTGACCTGCTTTTCACCATAGATGTAGGCAGAAATGCCAAAGACAGTATGGCTGGCTTGGAAAAATCAGAAATGGCAAAATCTGTTGTCTTTGTTTCTTTTTATTTATTTGAAGTACAATCAAATGTTCACGGTGGCTTCATAAAGTTTTCAAGCTCGTTGACTTTTCACTCTCTGCATGCGAGTCTTATTTTCAAAGATGAATAACACAATTACCCGTAATATCGAAGTAGACTATTAGTTCCAAAAGGGGTTTCCACTGTAGGAAGACTGCAGGTACAACCTTTGTCATTCTTAAAGTTACAATCCTTAAGATTTTCATGACAGTTTTTTTTTTATACCATTCATGGGCGTAATTTCGTCTGTAATAGCCATTCAAAATATAGATATATATCTAGATATATCTAGATATATATATATATATATATATATATATATATACATATATATATACATATATATATATATATATATGACGATACAGCATTAGTACAGAATATAGTACTTGGTAACAGATGCTGCCATTCCCGTGCTTGATTCAAATTACTTTCACATGCACCAGGGATTCACAGGAAAACAATGCATAGAAGTAATCCAATGTGATTTTATCTCAATGATAACGGCTTCACTGTTTATTGTTTACTCTCTTTCCATCATGTTACAGCTGTATTACATTAATAATGCAAAACAAACATCCTCCTGCTACTGTTTACCATTAACAAGCTAGGATGCAATGAATTTTTCAATGTTATCAGTGTTGTGTCTTGCACCAAACCTGCACTATGTACCTTTGAACTAGAATTACTGCATTGCGGTTGTAGCCAACCAGTCACGTTGCAGTTTACATCCATGAATGTCTTAAATGTCATCAGCTCATCATTTTATCCTTTGTGTGACATTGTCATACTTAGCAAATTAATTCTTGAGTTATGGCAAAAAAAAAAAAATGTTTTGTGAGGTCACAGTGACCTTTGACAAACCAATTTCTAATCAGTTCAACCTTTTGATAATTCCCAAGGTCCCGATTCTCTCAAGCTGTTGCCGAATGGACTAAACGGACGTACAACCCATAAAAATAACGCCTCAGGCTACGGCTGCTGTCTTGAGTCCAATATAATAACAACTGCTGTGTTTTCAACATCAATACATTCCAACTTTAGATGGCCTGCAAATAGAAGTTCTGAGTTAAACTGCAGTTTAGCAATACACATAATTGATTTAGTTGAATAAGGTCAGTTCAATATCTGGGATGAGTAAATGTTGTGATCCGAGCACAGCAAGCACCAACAGCCTGTATTACTGGAGAGACACCAGAAGTGCCAACATGATCTGCATCTTCTGATATCGCCACAGATCATTTACCTTCGAGGATAAATACTAAAATATTCATCAAAGGAATTCTTAGTTGGTGATAAATCGTATCCTGTTTCCTCCAAAAACATAAGTGATCCTGATCAAATGTGATTTAGAAAAATATCAGAACTTGTTAAAAATATGCAAAGTTTAGTCCGATTTTTCATGTCCACTTGTGTGTGTTTGAAGTCTGCCAGTGGAAAGGAGTGATGCAGTGCAGTGAAACCAGAAATAATAAAATCCGGCTTTTTTTGGCACCTCTGAATCACTGGAGCATGAGAGCAACCGAGATGACCAGAGGCAGCAGGAGGCCAGAAGACATTCGTCTGCTTCCTGAGGTGGGAGTCGCCCCACACTGGTCCAGGAGCTGCAGGGCCACGTCATTGGTCCAGCCAAAACCCAGCTACGGAAAGGGCAATACGGCAGCTCTTGAAGGATGTTTTCATTTATATTTAGCAAAGCAGCAAAATACAGTGATAGCTGTAAAACACTAAGAAATAAAACAAGTGACCGATTTCTGCTGATGGAAATAGTAAGAAAACCAAAGTGAAAAGTAGACAAGAACAAGACCCAACAGGGTAAGATAATTATACAAAAGAAAAAAAAAGATGGATAAGAACAAAAAAGGGAGGAGGAGAGAGTATATGTGTAGATGATGAGCATAAAAATGTGTTTACGTTAAGAAGCAGAAGTGAGGTAAAGAGAATCGACAGGGCTCGGCATGAAATGTAAAAGACTTGTGTGACTATAAGCACATTAGTCTGACACCATCAACACATGAAAGGAAATACCCGAACTTCATATTCTCCTCCACAACCAGGTTTGCCATCGCCGTTCACATCATACTGTCAGGAGGGAGAAAACGACACGTTCTGAGCCAGCTGTGTTATCACTGTGCAGCACGAGCTCCGACTTACTGAAACCGCAGACGTCTCACCTTTTCAAACATGGCGTCATACTTCATGTATGCCAACCAGTTTGTCTTGATCCAACGCTGGGCCAAATCAAATGCTAGTTGTTTAGCATTCTCTGGGGGCAGTTTGGATAAACCTGGAAATACAAAAATATTCTTGATTCATTCAAACTAAAATGAGGCTTGCTGGTAATAGTTTTAGGAACATTCAGCAGGACATTGATCATAATCATACAGATTGTGCTACCAAAGAGTTTTTAGGGCCAAACATACGTCACTCTAATTATGTGTCGCACAGACAAGACTAAGGCAAAAATCACACGAAATAAGCAACACGTAAAGCTAGCTGCAGTACGGGCCTGGCAGAGCATCGCCAGGGCAGATACAAAGCGTCTGCTGATCTCTGTTGGCGGCTGAATTTGAAGTCAAATATAACGACATAATGTAACTTGTCCCAATTCATTTCTGACCCCTTTAAAAAGGTATCCTGATGGGTTTTTCCACCACTGGTCGCACTATGAAGCAACCTTCTTCCAAGTTGGCTCCCTTTTTTGTTTGTACTGTGCACATCCACAAGGAAGCACATGTGCATGACGCGATACATTTTCCTGCAGATGGTTTCACACTCCTCCACTGATGGAGGTATACGTAGCGCGCTAAGAAACACAGCAATGTCCCAGTAAAGGCTGGCAAGGAGAAGACTGCTTGCGAGCAAATGTAGATGGTAAATGGACTTGCATTCATATAGGGCCTTTCTACTCTTTCAACCACTCAGAAAAACACACGCGTGCACGGCAGAGGCTGCCAAACTACTCATCAGATCCTAATCTAATCATGGCACAGCCTTCGGGAGGAATTTGGCGTTCAGTATCTTGCCCAAGGACACTTTGACATGTGGACTGAAGAACCACTGATCTTCCGATTGATGGACGGCCCATTCTACCTCCTGAGCCTGAGCCGCTGGATGATAACAATGCCAGTTTAAAACTCAGAAGATTGGCCTCATTTGCCTTTTATTAGTGGCATATATTCAACAGGTCTGATAGACCTCAGCGATACACACAATGCATTTTTGTGAGCAACACTTAACATAAACATAACTGTTTTCAAGGAAACTCCACAGATATGTGCAGATATCAACAGCCTCAAATTAAACCTGAAGGTCAGCAGTTTAACCTGAATACAAAGCTAAAGCAAATAAGTAAAGCACGACCCGATGACCGCTGTGCATTTTCAGAATTGAATATGCCAAGACAACAGAGCAACATGTTGACCAACTGCTGGTAAATCATCAGTACAGGTTCACGATTGGTGGCAGATCACTTTACTGATACCTACCATCAATGAGCATGTGTTGCAGAGGAGGCCATGCGTTAGGATAGTCCCACTGCTGCCCAGACTCTCTCAGTGACGTTGGAACTCCATTGGGGAACTGGAGAGCACCGCTCTCCTGCACAGACATGAAAACCAGCAACCATAAGAGCGTGCATGGATTTGACCAGTGCAGTGTGTGTGCGCCATCTGCTGGAGCAAATGAGCACAGTTGATAGCACATGCACAGCATCCTACTAGGTAGCCTTCTCAGCAGGAGGATTCGTGGCTGGAAATGGTGTTGACTAAATAATAGTCAACAATATCTTCTGTCAGGAAGAATTTCATTAAAAATAAAGAATAGTCAAAAATAATGTCAACTTGTTTTGAATGTATTGTTAATCGTTTTTTTTCATTATTCAGAAGGACAGAAAAGGGTCTTATATCAGAAATGCTCCTTCTTGTCTCAGCTGCCACAAATTCGACTTGTATGATGCCTTTATGTTCAGTATCTGTCTTAAAACTGAAGTCATAGTGAGTGGTGGTGTTGTACTACATTATATCAAGAGGTGTTTCTAATACTCTGCCTCCCTCATGTGCAACACCTTTATCTAGGACCTCAGCAATCAACAGAACTAAATTTAAACTCATTCTGACAATGTCATCAAAAACTGAACATTTTACTGTACTTCGAAAAGGTAGAATGTGTGGCAGGGCTGATGTAATGAATAGCAATAGATTGTACGGCTGCACCTAATAAAGTGGTCACTGAATGCATCTTCTCACTTCCCCTTCAGGGTATCTAGCCACACAGTTTGGGCTTCATTTGTTCAGGTTTTGAATGATACAGAGGAGGCGAAGGGTAATTGGTAATTTACCTGCTTTAGCTTTTGAACTACTTTATACCTTTCTATATATCAGTGTGTGTTTTTTATATTAAAAGTTTGTTTTTTTTTCCCTGTAAACACAAGCTGCTAAAAACTAAATATTTTTAAATTTAAAAATGATCCCTAGATATCTTTGGTGAAATTCCTAACACCTCTACTGCATTGAGGTGGAGGCCGATATCACACATGCTAGATACCATTGGAGGTAAGTGGGGAAAACATGCATCTTGTAATTTGGATGAAACAACCATTTAAATAAACAATAATCTATTATGCATAATTTATTCATGAATTGAGACCATAATGAAGCCTAGAATGTGCACCCACCTTCAGATACTCTACTGCCTTCTCTCCCATCTCAGCCGGAGAATAGCACCGTGCCCAAACAGGTGCCAGGTTGGAGGGGTAAAACTCAAAGTTTTTGGAGTGCGTCATCAGGTTGAAGTCAAACCAGGCTCCCCTCTCAGCATCCCACAGCACAGACTCTATCGCCTCCAGTCTGCGGACTGCGTTGTGGTCATACAGTGCAGCTGAGTCACCATCACCTGTCAGGAAACGGCACATCACCGTTACGCAACACCAGTTGGGAGCTAAAAGCAGTGTGCAGGCCACAGTTAGTTCCAAGGTCAAAGGCTGCTCGTGTACTCACCCAGTGAAATGAAGCAAGAGTCCTCTCATTGAGGCACAGAAGAACGTTGAGGTCAGTGGGCAGGACCTGACTAGTGCTGGTCTTCCCGAGGCTGCCGGTGCCGTACATGTACCAGCGGAATGTGAAGTCCCAGCCAAACTCTGCACCTGCTTTTAGATCTATCCACAGCTGCTCCTTACCGACTGAGGGCAAGGAAAAACACATGAATTCCTAAGTAGAGCCACAACAAATCAGCATTCTCAAATTTGGCACTTACTCATGCGTGTCTTGCTTGTTTATTGCACGTGGCAACGAAAAATATGCAATATGTTTCTGATTTTTAAAACCTTCAGAGACAAAAAGGGAATGTCTCCTCCAACAGGAGGAAATTACTGTTGACTATTTGAAGAAAAAATAAATACCTAAAAATGGGAAAAGGTCTTCAGAAATCTGAGCAAACTTTTTACCAAACAGTATTTTTCCTTCCAACAGCTTTTCTTAAATTTAGTGGTCAAGTTGTTCAATTCAGTTGTTCATGTGTTCAACATATTATATTTGCATTAAAACATGGTACCGAGGAATATTCTGAACACATTTGTTTTGCACAGATGATCCTTGAATCGAGGGGAGGATATTCCCCTTCTCTGCCGAGGAGCAACTATAAACTACTGTACATTCATTCCAGAACAAAGCACCCCACAGCGTTATCTATATTTTTAATCTCTCATGGAATTAAATTACCATAGCAGGGTGATATTCTCCAACTAATAAAGGTGGATTCATTCAACCACCAACAACTAATAAGCTATTACCCTCTGTGAGTCCTTCAGCTAATTCCAGATCATCTGTGTAGGATTCAGGCCTAGAAAAAACGAAGCGCATGCTTACCGTAGTTTAAGGCACATGCTACAATATACACATCTTAAATTCATTTTTATTGTCTACAAGATGTGTTTAAGTACGTACCTGGGCAAGCCCACCTGCACATGATACCGGTTCAGTAGATGCTCCGTTCCATTTACTTTCACAGTCACAGAGCGGTTGTGCATCCAAAATCGGTACTCCTGCTCCAGAGCTGGTAAAGCTGCTCTAAACCAAGTTTGTACAGACAGCAGGGAGCAGTGTTTTTAATTCAGACTACTTCTCACAGTCCTCAATGTCGTCACACAAAAAAAAAATGTTAGGGTGTCTCATTCTAATTAAGCACGTTAGGAAAAACAAAACACCGGAGGCACAGACAGACACGAGCACTGAGGTTTTGATGTTTAATACGCTTTTTTCTATTCTGGGAGAGACACGAGGCAGCTGGGGAATGATAATGTGCCTGGCAGGACATCAGCTTAGACCTAAATATCACCTGAGGAACTCTTTATCCTTGGTTGCTTGATAGTAGCTCTCCACCATTAGAGTGAGGAATGGAGGCTGACTGCACCTTTCATAATAATTCCGCCCACCATTTGGAATGAAGCCATATCTGTAGCAGAGTGATTGAAAAAAACATTTTATTCCACAAATCTTAAAATCCTCCCCGAGAGCTCCGTATCCAAAGTGTACAACCTTAGGTTGCTAAATGACTTATTATTCAAAATGAGCCTGCTGAACTACCTGCAGTGAGCTGGTAGTTGTGCTATGAAAGATGAAATGAGCTTTGAGGCTCACCTGTTGACGAGGTAGAGGAAGTTTTGAATCATCCTGTGGGCCGTGTCTGTCATCTCTGACAGCAGGAGCCCGTTGATGACCCAGTAGGAGTCCCTGTTGGGCACAGAGGAGGCTCACGTCACTGTCTGCACGTGGCACCCAGGTGGGCTCTCAGCAGCAGAGACCCCTGGCTGGGTCTGGCTGTGATCTGTCCTCGCTCTGACCTGGTGAGAATTTACTCTCAGGCAGACGAGCTGAAAGACGGGCTTCATCGCTCACTCACCAATAGTAGAGTTCCCTGAAGCGCCCCCCTGGCACTACAGCGGGATGTGGGGTGTATATCTGCGAGTAGAGCTCTGGGTGATCTTTAACATCGGCAGATCTGGAGGAGAATTTAAAGTCTGTGGACTCACGGGTATGTGGACGCTTCACCCTCATCATGAAGGCTGCAACTAACTGCTGTTATTATTGATGAATCTTAATTCTTTCTCTGTTACCCATTTGGTCTACAATTCATCAAAAGATATTGAATATTGATTTTTCTTAAGCCCAATTGGACATATTCAAATAGCTTGTTTTGGTCTAACAAAAGATATTCAATTTACCAACAGACAAAAATAATTCACATTAGAGAAACATTTGCATTTCTGCTTAAAAATTACGATTATTCAATTACTAAATAGTGACTGTATGCCAAGTTTGGGCGTTGAGCTCTCATCACCTTTCTGCCGAGCGACTTCCAAAGAAAATGTATCTTTTCAGCCCAGTTACGTAGTTCTTGGTCTGCTATTCCTCCCAGGAACTTTGGTCTGCATGTAAATAATATCAAGTCATGTCACTCAAGCAAACTTTAAAAAAAAAAAAAAAAAAAAAAGAGACTACTATCTGAGCATTAGTCCTCTAATAACTGGTTCTCACTTGTTATGCCAGTCGGGTGGTGTCCATGACTCAAACTCTGTCCCTGGTTTCTCAAAGTACGCACGTAGGAACTCCTCCAGTTTCGCAGGCGGGACAGTGATGTTCGGAGATTCATTTGAAAGGTTGCGAAAAGCAGAAGAACAACATCTGGAGAAGACACGGGGAGCAACAAGAGGAGCCACGTAATGAAGAAATGTCATGAAAGCAAAAAAAAAAGATTTACTGACTTGACTTACCAGGAGCTTCCCTCAGCTTCATGTCAACAAAGTACTTGTCATCAAAGAGTTTCGCTTTCTGTACCTGATGCAAGATGGGCCCAGCGCAGTATATTTCACTGAAATTAATGTAGAGTTGTGAATTATTAAACAGACACGATAGACATGTGAAGAAGTACAGAGTCCGTCAGGGAAGCAATAAAACCATTTCAAAGGTCTGCTGACAACCGGCCAATAGGAGATAATTCAACACAGATATTACGAGAAACATCTGTTCGCTGGCTGCAGACTTTTTACTGGATTGAGAGTAAAAGTTTGAAGGGTCTAGGATGGTCCGTGTCTATAGTCCCTGACAAAAGTCTTGTCACTTATCCATTTTGTAGAAACAGCTTATAACCTGACTTTTAATTAATCCATTGGTTTTAGAAATGGCTCATATGAAAGCTAAAACCCTCCCAAATTATGTTTAATATACTAAAATAAATTTGCTTCACTGAGGAAAGATTGATCATTTAATGAACACAGAAAGGTCAGATTTTGGCAAGACAAAAGTTTTGTCACCTACAGAGAGTAATGTGAAAATTGAACAAATAATTTACTTCAAATACAAAAATATGTTGCATAACATCAGTGAATTAAGTAGTGGTGCTGTGAGATCCATATTTAATATCTTGTATGACTTCCATGAGCTTGAAAGACTACATCCATGCAGTTCAACAATGATTCAAACAATTTATTGATGAAGTCATCAGGAATAGCAAAGAAAGCAGTCTTGCATGCCTCCCAGAGTTCATCAAGATTCTTTGGTTTCGTCTTCCATGCTTCCTTTCATTCTACCCCAGACATGCTCAATGAAGTTCATGTCTGGTGACTGGGCTGGCCAGTCCTGGAGCACCTTGATCTTCTTCGCCTTGAGGAACTTTGATGTAGAGATGGAAGTATGCGATGGAGCACCATCCTGCTGCAAAATTTGACCCCTTTTATGGTTGGGAATGTAAGAGGTAGCTAATACTTCTTGATATTTTAGGCTATTGCCTTCCACCCTGCAAATCTCTCTCACACCCCCATACTGGATGTAACCCCAGACCATGATTTTTCCGCCACCAAACTTAACTGTTTTCTGGGTGAATCTCGGATCCATGCGGGCTCCAGTAGGTCTCCTGCAATATTTGCGGTGGCTGTGATGTAATTCAACCGAAGATTCTTCTGAGAAATCCACCTTCTGCCACTTTTCCAGCGTCCATCCTTTTAGCAGGCTGTGGGACTTGGCAAATGCCACATGTTTTTTTAATTGCCTTTTGTTTAGTGCTGGTTTCTGGGCACTGATTTGACCATGGAGGCCATTTTGAGACAGAATTCTACAAACTGTCCTGGTTGACACGGGGACTTGAGGTGACCAGGCCTGGTGGAGCTCTGCTGCAGTGGAAAAGGGGCTGGCCTTGGATTTTTGAGCCAACAAACAGTCCTCCCGAGCAGTTGTCTTGCGGGGTCTGCCGGACCTGGGCTTGTCAAAAACATCTCCGGTCTCTTCAAATCTTTTTCTTATTCTTTGTACTTGACGCTGAGACACATTGAAGGTGTCAGCCACCTCAGCAGTGGATCTGGTCTTCAGCCTCTTGATAATCAACGCTTTGGTCTCAGGGTGAATCTTAGGCATGTTGTCAGAGGTCAAGTTGCAGTTGATGTGAAGGTCTGGTGTGCTGGGGTTCTTTTTATACACACCCACTAATTGATCAATTATTGATCACAGGTGAGGCTGTAATCTAGGATTGGGTGCATCATATGACAAGGCGACAAGACTTTTGTCTTTGCAAAAACTGACTCAGTGGGCTTTACCAAGCTGTGAACGTTAGAATGCTTTTCAGCAGTTTTGTTTGGCACCAAAACATTTCAAAAGCTGTTGGGATTGAAATTAGCCATTTCTTGTATTATTAAAAAAATAAAAAAAAAAAAAAAAAAAAGATTACAAATATATTTGAGGGGCACTTAAGGTCAACTTGTACCCAAGCGACAAGACTTTTGTCAGGGACTGTAGAGACAAGTGTGAGATCAGTTTATCAGCCGCACATTAACCAGAACATTCTCTTAGAATCAACAGTTCAAGAACAGGAATCGGTCTGAATAGACATATACAAACACCTTTTAAAGAACCACTTTCAGTCGTTTGTCTTACCTGTCACATGGTGGTGGGAAAGCGCCATTTACACAGGCGAAAAGAGCCACTGATGAAACGCTGAATACCACCAACATGTGCATCTTGAGCTGCAGTCTGTGCGACACCAGAGTACAGGAAAGCCTGCGGTCTGAGGACTTCCTCCAGGTCAGGGTTTATAAGAAGACATTACATCTGCAGAGAGCAGTAGCAACACTCTGTGGAAGTGGTGCAACAAGGAACTGCAGTGGTTGCCAAGGACATCAAAAACACAGTAAATTTCAGTGAGCTTTATTATCAACAAAAGTTTCAATCGAATCCAATAATATTCATGACATTTTTTTTTAAACTTAAGTCCATTGTAAAATTAGCGTCACTGAAAAATTTGCCAATTAAATAACGACCAAATTTCCATTAAATAAAATATGAACTCAGGCTTTAAATCCTTCCTTAAATTTGGAGACTTTTTAAATAAGGTTAACTCCACTTGAACGTTTCACTTGAAAAAAAAAAAAGATGGGCAACTTTTTCAAACCTTTTTATACCCATTAACATAACTTTGGAACTTTAGATCTTGTTTTATGGCCCAAAGGCTCCTCCCCATTTTGTTTCACTGATGCATCAGTTTTGAAAGGAATCCCAAACAGACTCCTCCCACATCCTCCACAGATAAACGGCCAGATTGTACACAAAAGCTGTGTTTTCGTAAATGTTTCAGAACTATCGAGAGAGGATGAACATGTGCATCAGGGCAGCAAGAGCATTAATTTAGCCACCCCACGAATTAAAAAAAAAAAAAAAAAAAACAACCCTTAAAGAATGAGACAATTTAGTTACTAAACTCTCCAATTAAGTCGCCCAATCTGGGGCAAGATGCTCTTGTCTCAGTCTTTAAGGTTTTCAAGATGGCAGCCACTGGCAGCAAAGCAGCATTCCATCAAGACGAAGCGATACACTACATCTTGAGGGATCGTCAATTTTCGCTCCGAGAGCATTTGCTGTGGCGATTACTGCCAGTGGCTGACAAGAGTCAGGCAGCTGCCAAGCGCCTGCACAATGAGATCCCTGTTCACTCAGCTAACCCTTCATTTAATTTGAATATGTTTAACAAATACAGACCTCCCACCCACCCAAACCCAGACCAGCCAAATTAGATGTACAAGTATTCAGGGGACAACTATAGAGCCGAGAGGACAGGGATCAGTCCTAACCAATGAGAAATAAAAAAGGGAATTTTTAAACTGATCAACATTGTTACACAATTTGGATTAATTTTTTTTTTTTAAAAGACATTAAATTAAATGTGCAATACTACTTCTCATTGATTAGAACAGTCTAGAGAGCATCTCACCATAACAAAGGGAACCTCATTCGCAAAAAGGTTCCAGCTGATCAAACGAGTGGTCAGAGGAACTTAACGCAGAACGAGGTCATCATGTTGCATAAAAACATCTGTATTCCAAACCCCAGATAACACAATAAAGGGCAGAGAAATAAGCCATGAACTCAGCAGTCCGAGGCGCCCACGATATTTTCTAAACAAGCAGTCCGACTAATAGTAATATGCAATCCTTGATGGCCGTTCCCCCTCTGTGCCATTTCTTTGTTGTTTTTTTTAGATGTTCTGCGTCACACTTTTCTCCCCATTTGGGCCTCATGGGTGCAGAAAAAGCAGTGCAGTCAGCGTTATTGCACTGAACCCATCTCTCTGTGCGTTAAGTGCAGCCCAACCTGCTCGGGTTGTTTTTATTATATTTTAAATGAGGCGTTTTTGGTTAGCTGTGTTTAATAAAGCCAGCTAACTTGGAATGCACAGAGAGTGAATTCCTGGTACATTTCTAGGTCAGATGGTTCATTTTGATGCATTTGGCAAACTTTCTTCAAAAAGGGGGAACAGAACTCCACAGCTTTCGCCTCGACATTTGTAAAGTGATGCAGCTGCGCTTAAAGAGCACACAGAACGTAACAGCTAATACCTCCCCCGGAAAATAAATTCTCTGCCAATTTGGCTGCACTGCGAGAGCGAGTAGTACTACTACATGATAGAATATTATTTTCTCTTCCAATAACAACACTCACTATAACTGGAGAGCTTTAGAGTGCGTCTCAAGAGTCAGTTGCACAAGTTAAGGCTGGTGACAACAAAGAATTCATTACTCAAATGTCTAGACTGAACATGTGTTAACACTGGTAGCAGGAGAATACGGGTGACAATTGAAACAATCTCCTGTTTAAGTGCAGCTTTGAAGAAGTGCACTCTCCATCAATGGAAGGGGCTAAAGATTAGTAGTGAACTCTGCCTCCAAAAGAAATTTCATGCACAAGCTCCTTTAAGTGTTTTAGATTCTAATAAACTCTGCAATTTCTAAAATTATAAATAAATTCACAGGCCAATATTGCAAATCTAACAAACCAAGTTAAGAAAACAGTCTCCAGTGCTAACAAGAGAGGGGGGGGGGGGGGGGGTCTTTTCAGTTTGTTGGCCAGCCTTTTGAACTTGTTTAAAACAATCTTAAAATTAAGGTATATACACAGGGTTTAAGGTGCCGCCCACATGTTGGCTGCACATCTCGCAGAATAAAGTATGGCCATCCATAGGAAGGTGAAACACAGGACACAGAAAAACAGAAAAGAAAGAAAAATGCGTTCCCACACAATTAAACTCCACCGAAGCAGGAATCCTCATGACTCGTGGTGTGGAGAGGCTGCTTATTCGTTTTTAGTGTTCTGAAGCTGAAGACGGAGGAAAGGATCTGGGTCTCTTAGAAGCTCAAGCTTCTACAACAAGCAACCGGACAGTCTGGCTGTCTCTTGAAACTAAATCCAGCATCTCTGTCCGTGGAACATCCAAGTTTGTCCTTGTTCATCAGCCAGACTCAAAGTGCAGCCAAGCCAGCAAAAAAAGGATCATTCAGACCGGCCTCCTTCCTGTTCATCTCCACTCCTTGCAAAAAAGGATGACCCAACCAAAAAACAGTTATGACTTCACCTACGTGGTCGGACATTAAACTAGTGGAACAAATTTTCAATTAGGCGAACGTGAGTGTGTGGTATGACGTGAGCAGGATGACGGATAATGAAGGGTTATTACTTTAGAACGAGTTGATCTGCTTGTTAAGGCACTTGATACAAATTGGTTAAAACTTCCCAAAATAAAAACACGGAGAATGGAGGGTGTCGTATAGCGGTCTGTTGGTGCTGGCTTCGCGTCATTGGTGGATATGAATCTTCACAATGTGCATTGATACATTTTCGACTTGGTCCCGTGCTTTCCTCCCGGTGCTCATGTCTTCAGGGTGTGTTGGTGCAGCACAGAGCCCCGTAAAAAGGCAAATGAGTTCTTCCGAAACGCGTTCCATCAAGATACACATTCCTTATGGTGGCATCCAAAATAGGAAGACGGACAGAAACTGTACATAAAAAAAAAATAAAAAACGAGAACTCCAAGACAAGGGGGGATGAAAAAAAGAAAGATACAAAGGGGAATGGAGGTGTGACTGATCTGTAGAGAGAGAAGAGGGAGAAGATAAGTTAGTTGTAACTCCAGCTCCATTTACATTAGAAACCCAAAAATGATGACATAATAAGTGTTGAATGATTTCAGTATGCAGGCATGAACAAACAAGAGGAAACCGGTACATGAATCCACACACCGTTATAGATTACTTGTAGTCTACTATACACCATGTAGTTTGTTTTCCTTGTAAAATCATCTAGCTGGTCATTTTCAGTACTCCTATTCTGCAGGTGAACTTCATTCATATATTAATTCAACTTTATAATCTGAATATGTTTTGAACCAGTGCCTTCACTAGTAAGTATCAACAGATGCACAAAATTATTTGAAGGGGGCCAAAAAAACATATCATCCCTAGATTGACTTTATCATTTTACAACAGAACACTGTTAAAAAGAACAATATCCCTCCTTGACTTAACTTTAACGTGAAGGACACTTCAGGTTAGAGAACTTATGTTACGTGTTGCTTTCAGACAATATTTCAGAGACAGTTATTGCACATCTTCCGACATGTTTAAAGGCAGTAATAGACCTTTCTCACAGGGAAGATTATTACTTTGCAGGGCAGGAAAACACCATCAAGGTAATGACAGTAATAATGGATAAATTACCTTTAGTTGTGCATACCAATATACTAATAGAGCAACATGTAATGTCTGCCATAATAATCTCTAATGTGGCCCGTGTGTTAAAATTGCTGCACTGACATGAAAAAGACAAGACATGCGAAAACAGAAAAGCAGTAAATATTTGTGTATATTGAACTCACTGGCTCATGGCTTGACTTCTTCGCCACTCTCGCTGTGGTACTCGGCCACATAGAGGCTCTTGTCGATGATGCCGGGGATGGGCTTGATCTCCGTTCCGAGCTGCTCCTCAATCCCCTTCAGGTTGAAGCGATCATCGTAAGTGATGAGGTTGATGGCCAGACCCAAGTGTCCAAAGCGGCCTGGATGTTAAGGATGTGAAGGTTCAAATGATTATTTTTATCATCATTGTTTGAGAAGAGGCTGCACAGTAGAAAAACAACTGAAAACCACAACTTTCATGTAAGTAATATGAGCTCTTACCAGATCTACCGATGCGATGAAGGTACGTTTCTCCCAGCTTGGGAAAGTCGAAATTGATCACAACATTCACAGCCTGAATGTCAATTCCTCTTGTGAAGAGGTCTGCAGAAAAGGAAAGAAATCAAACCTGCATCAACATATCACACATCTGGATCAAAATGTTGTGTATCCACAGAACAACAATTTCAAGACAACAAGCGGCAACATATTTCAACCCACATACGCCTCCACAAACTGGTGTTGTCAAAAATATTTAAGTATATCTACTGAATGGTTATTAATATTCATTTTCTTGTTACACAGGCACCAGCTGCACTTTCTGCTCTCCCTTCTGTCAGACACCAAGGTGATAGACAGCTATTCATCTCTAATAAAAATGTTCCCCGTGGTATCGAAGATGTATATTTTTCAAGGTGTTGTATTGAAGTTAGAAATTCCAGTATTGTGACAACACTACCACAGAACAAACAAACAGATGGAACCAAAACAGAGCTCCGTTTGGAAATGTGGGCACACCTGTGTCCATCTGTTTGTGTGCATGATGCGTCATCACAATCACAGTGCAAGAGTGTCAATCAAATCATGGGAGCAAACCCTCAATTACTAAAATGCAGAGCAACAGCACAGTTGAAACAAAACTGTTTGATGAGCTCCCACAGGTAACTACGTGAACAAAACTCTGTTTTAGAATATAAATAACAAATATCTCTTTAAAGGAAACCCAAGTTTAAATCCGTCAGTGAAAGAAAAGAGTTGAAGTTCAGAGTGCATGCCGAGTCTTCACTGAGACGCCAGTAGAGCACGTTTCAAAAGGTGGACACAATTCTGCTGCTGGAAACTCAAGTAGCGTTTAGCTGACTGGCCACTCTGGTACCAACTTATTAGAAAAATAAAAAACATTTCAAACATTTCTGAATGACATTGTACGAACACTGAACAAACTAAAAGGCTACAGACATAGGCTAGAAATCTAAAGCTATATTTGTGTGCTGTGAAATCACTTTATGCAATAGAAACACACTTGCTCCTGCTATAATGAAAAGGACTATTACTTCCGTTATTGTTTTAGCCATTCTGCTTTTGCCTCCCAAGGCTGCTTGAAACATTTTTTGGGGTTTAGCGGTAAAAAATAAACGGACTATGACAGAACAAATAATTCCCTTTTGACATAAATCCTTCTGTAGAGCTCTGCCACCAGCGCTGTCATATGCATCATAATGACAGTGTTCCTGCTTCCAGCAGGCGATGGGTGGGGGGGCACCATGTGGTTATTGCTGATACCGGATCTCCCACTATTGGTGCGCTGCATGGTAACCATAGCAACCACACCCCACTTTCTCTATTCACCTTCTGACACTTTAATGACTTGATCACAACTCATTTCTGTGTATGAAAAAAATGCATCTGGTTCTTCGTCGGGCCTTACAAAACCTTTTAGCTACAAATCAGATTGAAGAAGCACCCACGCACATTGCTGTTTTTACTATGAAAACATCGATTAAGATTAGAAAGGTTTTAGTGAGGCATAGCTGCAGCATTCCTTTAAACATTTTAACACCACAAATGTTCCACTTTCTGCCATCTAATGGACAATTTGCCTCCAGTGTGTGTTAAAGTGGCACCGAGCTCAGACTTCTTTGTACATTATTTCATAACTGTTAATAGCAATAACCCTAAAAAGTCAACCATCATCCAAATCATTTGACATCGTCTCTCCCAGCGGTATTCAATTAGAACTCAATGAGGTCCAGTTAGAGAGAACTTGCTCATACAAAGGAACCGAACATCACAATGATGTCCAACTTGCACAATGATTTAGTTTCGTATATATTAAAATAGCTAATAGTTGTATCAACGTTCTTACCTAGTCAACTGATTATCAAATCAAGAAACTTCGATTGAATATCGCAGCAATATTTATTGTCAGTTTTCAAATTGAACTGGATGAATTATAAATATATACTCTAATAATAAATGTTCTCAGTTCAAGTAAAATAAGGGCTGCGTTTAAGACTAAATAAAGCTTTTGAAAACTTTATTGTCTTTGCCCTGCAGCTGTAAATTTAATTTAGTCGGGTAAAGTGAGGTCACTCAAGAAAACATTAGATTTTTCTCATCTTCGAAAAAGAGAAATGTGTGCAAGTACTACATCTGTGGTTATTTAAACCACTTGTTTCAGCTTTACTCTCTGTTTACATCACTGTTGGGCAGTGAATGAATGCGTTAGGATTCTGATCATATTGGACTCTTAGTTTATTTTCTGTGTCTATATTTCAGATGTGAGTGGGTACGTTTGCGCTTTGTCTCGTAGTGGCGCTTCACATTGCTGCTTTTAATAATCACCAGAGTCTCTGAACACACGAGACACTGGATTTTAACTGCCCGTGGGAGGAATGAACATTTAATAGTCTGTCCATTATTGGTTAAAGACTCTGGTCGTGCTGTCCACATTCCTCTTTTTGGAGACTCGCGTACTTGTCCTGTTGGGTCTCTCTCGTATGTGTAAATCTCACTGGAGTTGCGATGCTAATCAGAATACAATAGATCAGCTCAACGCGGATGTGTCAGCAAACTAAGTTTTGAACAAGAACATACATATGCACTTCCAACACCTTTACACTAGACGTATATTTAATCTTTGGCAATTCAAATAAATTGAGGTCAGCTGCAACCTGATTGGACTCGCTTTAAAAAGTCATACAGCTTATAGTTGAAATGGTTGAGTGGTGAAGATTCAAAATCCAAGCAATGTGCATCACAACTCTACATGGAAAACACTGGTATAATGTGTACACCGTCTCACAATAGCTTCTGTAGTATTTCACAATGCTCTACCACTTACCAGTGCAGACGAGATTCCGGCAGAGGCCATTTCTGAAGTCGTGGAACACACGGTTGCGATGCTCCTGGAGAGCAGAAAACACACGTCATGTGAACCTCGTGTAGTGGATTCTATAATAAAACACTTTTTCTATTGCTATGGAACCAGGTTATGAGTCTATAGCTCTATTGCTATGGTCTGTAAAACGTTTTACTATGTAAAGTACAAGCTAAGCTGCAATGCTGGGTTATAATTTAAATATATTCAAGGTAGGCAATCTGGATTTCCCAGTGTTCAGACATGAAACCATTACAAAATCTTCCCCACCGCTTCGGCTATCTTTTTTGTTTATGTCGGTACAGAAGAATCCCTGATTAAGGCCACCTGTAGTAGTAAATGACATGTGTAGGATAGCTTGTTACCCAGGTGTCAACATGACCGTTTTCTCTTCTGAAAAAAACTGGTAGCAGTAGCAACACTCCAGAAATAGAACGTTGGTGTAAACTGTAGTGAAAGGTTATGCACGTCTATGAGATGCACCATTTTAATGCACACCAAAAGTAATAGTAGCAGCTGTTCTGGGACCATCGCCACCCATGTGTATTTTGGTCTTAAAGCTGGTAGAGATGGCATTTCGGAGGCAGTACTTTGAGCTGACCTGTCTCATCTTGGCATGAATGTAGAAACATGAATAACCAAGCTGGGAGATCTTCTTGGCAAGGAGTTCCACTCTCTGAGAGGAGTTGCAGAAGATTATTGACTGGTTGATCTGGAGCTGTAAAAAATAAAAAACAGTAAACAGTAAATCCTGGTGAAATCAATGTTTGAATTGTGAGGATTCACAACAGTTTGAATGACATCTGAAATGAACTAACAGGATCATGAAGTGCAGGGAGGCAATACTTACCCTGGAGAACAAGGTGTTAAGGCAGTGGACTTTTTGCCTTTCAGTTACATAAGCGTAATACTGAGTCACACCCTTCAGTGTCAGCTCCTCCATCAGGTTGATCTCATAGGGTTTCTGCAAGTGTGCATTCTACAAAGCAGGTGAAGAGAGGAGTCGTTGCATTCAGGTTGTGCTACAGATTATGGCGGCAGATTTGTTTATTAGCAATAAGAAATGATGAAACAAGTACTTCAAAAGATAAGAAATGTGTACCATAAACTTCTGAACGCTGATAGGGAAGGTTGCAGAATAAAGCAGGATTTGCCTCTGTTTGGGCAGGAAGCTTAGCATGTCCTCCATCATAAGCACAAAGTCCTGAGACAGCAGTTTGTCAGCCTATTGAGCAGAGAGACATGGGAGGGGGGGCACATTGAGAGCCAGCTAAAGAGAATGCTTCAATATGAAAAAAGGTCACACTTCTATATTTAGGATTAAAGCCATGTTGGTCAAACTCTGCTACTTACTTCATCCAGAACGACCATCTGCACTTGATTGACTTTGGCCACTCCTTTCTTGATGAGGTCTAAAATTCTCCCAGGAGTGGCAATGATCACATGTACTGTAAAATAAATAAAGCATTGGTAAGATACACAGGATCTTTACAAAAGAATGGCAGTGTTAAGACTTGACTGAAGAAAATTAAATGTATTGCCTCAGAATGTAAAAAGATAGTCCATCGCACCAACAATATTAACAAGCACATTGTGCTTGTTCCCATTTAACATTGTGGATTTGTGATGCGGCCAGTAAGTTATAATCACATTGAGAGACCCAGTTCACCATTTCAAACCAAGGACAGAATCCATTCACATCCAACCAAAGAGGACAGAATCCATTCACATCCAACCAAAGACAGAGTCCTTTAAATGTCAAACAAGAGATTTTCATTTGCTTGAATAAAATGAATTATGTAACAAACAACACAGACACATTAATTGTGTTTTGCTGAAGAGGACAGTTTTAGAATGATACCAACATGAACATTTAGCCGTTTCAGATAAATCTGAACACAGCATTTAGTATGAAGACGAACAGTTTCACATCATCAGGGCGACAACAATGTGTGCAAGTTTACCCGTTTCATCGAGTCTCATGATGTCGTCACGTAGGTTGGTTCCACCTGTGGTTGCCATTACCTTTACTCCACCCATGTGTTTGCTGACCTGGATACATATTTGGCTTACTTGCAGAGCCAGTTCTCGGGTGGGCACGATGACCACAGCTGGAAACACAGACACATACCTGTGATAAGACTACTCACATGTATTAACCCTGAGCTAGCTTGGTCTCAATTTGGACCCTTAAACACAGCTTTTTCCTAACCATTAAAACCATTAAGACACTTAATCTTTATGATTATCCTCCTCCCGTTGCAGTCATCTATTGCCTTGCCACAATGTTTTTTTTTTTTTTTAAAGCAATTTTCATAAAGAACTATTTTGCGTTATTCCGGCGACAGTATGCCCCATAGGTGACACATCATTAACAGCACTCGTTATTTTTTCCCATTCCAGGTTTCTTAATTCCGCTGCTGACGGTTTTAAAAAGTATAGATTTTCTTTTATTGATTTCCAAAAGCAGGACTAAAATCTTTGACCTTGGTCGGTTCTTTGGTGCCATGTTTATGAATGAACACTTCTGGACGCTTAGCTTTACATGGTATTATTGGGGCGCTACTTATGCTAATTTCCTATTCTCACGAGCCGATGCATATTTAAGCACACGTGGTATTCATCATGTTTACGTCATACACAGTTATCGGAGGTTAGAAGTGTTTGATGAATCTGACGTGGCACATTCCAACGAGCCCGACACACGAGAAAAAAAAAAAAAGGAGAAAGTTAAGATTAGTTTACAAATATGTTCTTGCATGAGAACCATTGTTGCAAAGACACCCTGATTAGTGCTTTTAGACATTCCATACAGTGCAAACAGAAAGCAGTTTCACACAGTGGATGATCATTCAATTCATGTTTTTACTCTAAATAAATCCAGACAAATATGTAACTAACATTAATTTTAATTAAGGACAGATGTTGAGATATTGTATTTACTATCAGGCTAAGAATACCAGCCATTACTATCTTTTGAAATGCTGGAACCTCAGAATTTTAGTTTGCAAAATGAACGACTGATTAAGATTAGGAAAGAATCAAGTGTCAACCTTCTGACATTTACTGCAGCAGACAATGAGCTTCCTCACCTTGTATGAAGTCCCTCTTCAGGTCAATGCGTTCAAGTAAGGGAATGAGGTAGGCTCCACTCTTTCCCGTGCCATTTTTGGCTCTGGCCAAGATATCCCTTCCTGACAGTGCAATGGGAATGCTTTCCTCCTGCGCAAAATGCAGTAATGACAGATTCATACACAATACTACTTTTTATGGATGGATACAGTCAGTGCATTTTTGGCCCATACCAAATTATGTTTGCTCAAACAAAATATATTCAAAAATTCAATAGTCGGTCACTTAAAGTAACAAAGAGTGACTGGATGAAAAGTAAAAGAGCAACAGTCCAGGGTCACTGGCCCAATAATATCTGCCAATCAGGCTGCTCAGCAAAGCAAGTTGAACCTATTCAGGGGTATATCGGAATGGGTCCGATAAGGAGAACTCAAGGGATCATCAAAGTCATTCAAATATATAGTCTGTGAACCAAGAATTTACAAAACTGCAATCAATCAAATAGTTTGAGATTTTAGTCTGGATCACAGTGGTTGACCAACCAACATTGCCATGGCACTAGTATAACAAATGAATAATCATTGAATCAATCAAATATAAATTGTTGTAAGAATTCATTGTGTGCATTTTAATTATTACACTAGCAAGGCAAAAAGTCATTTAATTTCAAGTGTAAAGGCTTACTTTAAAAACCCGATTATAAGCCTGTCCAATTTTTAACCCTAAACTCCACACTAACCAGAGTGTAAACAAATCCCCATCATTCGGTTATATTTTGAACTAGAGGCAGGAGCTATTATTTAAAATCAGCAAAAGTATGAAAGCCAGTTTTGGTAACTTATCAAAGTCATGGTACTATCAGGTTTTTTTCAAATGCACCGAACTCTAATTATGAAATTAGGAACCTTAAGCACAAAGACACCTGCTTGTCCAGCTGTCAAAAGGGATCAAATCTGAGCTGGGTCTGAATGTACCTGGATTGGAGACGGCTTTTCCCAGCCCATCTCAAAGATTCCCATGAGCAGCTCTCTCTTTAGGCAATAATCTTCAAACTCGTTGCCTTTAGTTGCAGTCACATCCTGTAATCATAACAATGGATTAATTAGCATTTGATTAACGAAGCATTAACAGAAGGACCCATCAAAAGCACAAGAAAAACGTGCATCTGCAATTTCTACTTCCAAACTGGAAGATTTTCAGCTCAATAAAAGGAGATCTATCTTGTACCAACCGAAGTTCTCATCCTAGTGTCTTTTGGGGGCAACTTCAAACTTTTCTTCCAGTCATCTCCAGGCCTGTGGGGGGTTAAGTTCTTGTAAGCAACAAGCATAACAAAGAATTGCAAGTAATACTTGTGCCAACATCCACATTTTAGGATTTCTAGCATTGAATAACTTACTTGATGACAGAATTGGTTGCCGGGGCCAGTTGGGAGTTACCATTGTTGATTGTGCCTTTCATCTGATTAAGTTGCTGTTGTTGAGGACCTCCTCCACTTCCACCTGGTGCTCCAGCAGGCTTAACTGAGCCTCTGAGCTGTCCATTCTGGTTGGACAAGCCCAAAATCACTGGGTGCTCTGTCCTGGCGGTACTCATGTCTACTTAGCTTTTCTGCTCAAATAGCTATGAAATGTTTCTAAATGAAGTGAGTCCAGTCGGCTGGAACCACTCAAAACTTAAGAATGTCCTTCCCTCTTGAGACTTTTTATCATCCAAATGTAAATTGTTCAAATCCTGTCACAGCAGGTTCCACAACAACGTTGCAGTTTCTGGGACATCAAGGGTCAAAATAAACAAATCCCCCCCCCCATTTAATTTTCAGATATCTTCGAAACACGGATTTACGAAGCAAATCAGTTCTTAGCATTAAAGTAATCTGCCATTGTCACATGTAATATCATATACCAGAAGGCTTTGCTAGCTCTCAAGTGTTGGCTTGTTTATCTGGCCATCTTGTGTAGCGTCACTGAGCCGCTGCGTCCTCTCAGGTTTCTCCAACCCTGAAACATACAAAGACAAAGTGTTAAAAACATCGTACTCGACACGAAATGGCAATTGTGTGGCATGATGCAATATGCTGTATTTAAATTGTATAGAGACATATCGAGTTAAATGTAGCTGATAAATAAGCGACAGCAGCGCTAGCCCAACGTCATAGGTTAGCTGCACAGTTAGCTACACAGTGGTAGCTCGTAGCTAATGTTGTTTAGTTCACGTACGTTGACCGTTGCTAACACTATGAAAACAGTGTTGAAATGCGGAAGGTCAATCACATAAATAGATTATCTATACAGTTACATCAATTACACCGCCCGTGAAGATTACTTGGATAAATATTTTAACACATGGCTGACCAAAAACATTTACTGTCTGTTAAATCCAACCGTGTAACTAACGTTAGAGGGTAACCAAGCTAACGTCCAATATCTGGCTAACTGACGTTAGCACATGACGCTTAAGCTTTGTAGTAATGTTATGCGGTTTCGGTAAACCACGTTAAAATACCAGTTCAAGAATATTTTAATACAGTCGGTATATTATAAAGCTAGTGCAGCTGACACCTTTCCCAACGTTAGCTAACAAACAAAACTGGATATCCACCATCAACTAGCTATCGTTGGCTTGCTCAGCCGAATCCATTGCCGTGCTAGGTCTGCTAGCAAGCTAACGATGGCAAACAGTGAACGATAATTGTAAAAGTCACCACGAAATAATAGAGTATCTGGTTAACAACCACCCAGAAATATAAATAGTCTAAATGTGCATGCATTTACCTTGGATAACTTCAATAATCGGTTCTCTTTGCAGTGTTTATAAGGTGTACTAATTTCTTTTTAGCTGACTACGAAAGAGTCTTGTCAACCAAACGTTCAAGATGGCTTCCACTCGTATTTGAACCCGCCCCCATCCAACGAATCAGCTGATTTCATTGCAAATCAGCGATTTACCAGCAGGGTGTCCTGTCAAAATTATACTTTCAGACCATCTTAACATCTACTGATCCGCATCTACCGAACCCAAGTTTTGATTGGTATTGTGTACCCGTCAGTGAACTATTTTATTCAAATGTATGTCGCATACACGCATGTATAGTGCTTGCCCTCTATTTGTTTTTCTACCCAAATTGGGGGGTATAAATGTGAAAATTGATAAAAATGCAAACCCAGATGAAATACAGGCACCGTATGTAAATTACTCTTAACAGTTCCTGTTAGTAAGGCGAATATTTCCTGCAAGTTACCCAAGATAATCACTTCCTGACATATTTTATTTTGTAAGTGCCTTTTTACGTTTCGGGTTCTTTACTTTGAAGTCCTTCTGGCGTAACCGGAAGCAGATACAAATCTCCTCAGAGAGCAGTGACTTGACTTCGCATTTAAAAAGTAAGATAATTAACGGTGCGTACTAAAAGAAAAGTGTTCGTAAGATATTCCTCTGCAATAAGGGTTTCTTCATTAACGGTTAAGCACCTAGCTGGAACGATAACAGTTTATTGTGTGTTTATTGTGTTTTATAATCACCTTTAAAATATTTTTAATTTCATTAAAGTTACAAAAACTGCACTCTACTGCTCCATATCATACTGTAACTAGGTTTATAAAGCCTACATAATAATTACAATAGTAAAACATATATATATACAGTGGGTACGGAAAGTATTCAGACCCCTTTAAATTTTTCACTTTGTTTCATTGCAGCCATTTGCTAAAATCAAAAAAGTTCATTTTATTTCTCATTAATGTACACTCAGCACCCCATCTTGACAGAAAAAAACAAATGTAGAAATTTTTGCAAATTTATTAAAAAAGAAAAACTGAAATA